CAATCAACAAATCCTCGCTTTATTTTTGAATTAAAGGGTAGTGAGGAAAAAACATTTTCAAGTAAAATAATTTTTTCACTTTCTTTGAGAGGTCATGTAACAAAAAATAGACCTAGGTGATCCGAGGAATGCAAGAAGAATGAGGATTTGGTATCAATTGTGATACTTTGTGTATTCGCAACGGACACCAAACCTTTCTCATGGCGACTTAAGGAACCGGTTGCCATGAAAAAAGAAATATTACAAACCTTGCTACGATACCATGAAAATGTGAGTTGCTTCACCGTGTTATTCTTTACAAAAGCGAGAGGAAATATATATACAAATTACATTCCTAAGTGTTAGGACTAATGATTCTATGAATATGCTAGCTTCCATATACACGTAGATATGATTAAATTAGTATCCACACACACACACACACACACACACACACACACACACACACACACACACACATATATATATATATATATATATATATATATATATATAAGGTGGCAATAAAGGAAAATATTTTGACATTAATGGAAAATTATTCTAATATAGTATTTTCAAAATTAAACTTCTTTAAGTTTCAAACAAATAGCTTTAAAGCAAGCTACTGTAGAAAGAAAGTGGCCATACTATTATATTCCAAATATTTTTTTTCTATGGCATTGAAGAGATCAATTTCTAATAGTGAACGATAAGTTTTTTCAAGTGGGAGCACCTCGTGGAGAGAGCCAATATTGTGATTTTTTATTTCTTATTTTTACTATAATGTTTATTTAATTGGTAAGGTTTTTTACCATTTTTAAACTTTTATTTAAGGATAAATAAGGTAAATAGATCAATTTGTCTTTATATAATAACCTAAGTCTTCAATCTATCTCTATATTTCTAATTGTATACATTATTTTCTTGAATATTATTTAAGTTTTCAATTTATCTTTTTAATTAATTTTTTCAACCATGAGCAAATTTTTTTACCGAAATTCCCTTGCCTAAAATGCCAAAAAAAAAAATTCTAAAGACTTAAAAATAGAACATGTAGGTCATATGACTTTAAGTTTTTTTTTTTAACATTTTAGTGAGAGGCATTTCAATCAAAAAAAAATTCATGGTCAAAAAATTAATCGAAATGACAAATTAGAGAGACTTGATAATTATTCAATGATATAATAGATATAATTAGAAATGTAAAGACAAATTTGAGACTCTAACTAATATATAAGGACATATTGACCTATTTATTCTTTGTTTAATCAAGCAAGTGTTATTAAGAAATTAGTGTTTTAGAATTTTATTTTTTTCAATATTATAAGATTTTTTTAATTTTTCTAGTAATAGTTTTTTGGCAACGAAATAAGAATGAGGAATAAAAATTGAGTTTTATGTTTTTTATCTGTCAAGGTCGGCTCAAGGCATAAGGCATTAATGCCTATGCCTAGGGCCCCCATAGAAAGGAGGACTTCAATTAAAATTTTACACTAAACCTACATCCTAAAAGAATGAGATAAATTAAAAGTCTGCGACCTCCACTTTTACTTACGGAAAAGTTTCGGAAAAGTATTTGTGAGTGAAACAATTTTTAGATCTCCAAATTTTTTTATTATATTCCTTTATTTCTCCAAGCAATCGGGGGTCTCTTAGAAAACCTTTTCTAATTAACTTGGCGAGAAAAATCTGAATGTAATTTTTTAATTTATGCAAATAAAATTATGTATATAAATCATATAATATTTTATTTTTTTCTCAAATTTCTTTTTATTTTCTCAAGTGATTCTCTCCGGGTTTACTTGATTAGGCGTGGCAAGTAAATATAATCAGGTGCCAAAGTTTCTTATTTTTTTATAATTATATTTTAATTTTATTATTTGAATAAAATGTCTACTAGAAAGTATGAATCTGGATATGAAAAACGTAAGAAAAAAAGAAAGGTAGAAGAACTAATTCAATCCCAAAAAGGTACACTTGATAGATTTGTTACTAATATTAAACCTCAAATACTAGAAGAACAAGATAAAGATTTAAATGAAAATATAGTTGAAAATTATGAAGAAAAAATTGAAGATAACAATTCAAATTCACCAAAAAGTAATGAAGAATATGATGAAAATTTAGAAGATGATGTTTCAATCAATAAAAGTGAAAATATTAATGATGAAGATGCAACAATAATTAAAAATATTTATATGATCCAACACAATGAAAAAATTTAGACTCAAAACTAATTGATTTATTAGTTGAGAAAGGTCCAATTAGAGAAATTTTAAATTTTTCAAGAGATAAAAACTCTAGACATTTTTCTATAGTTCATTACATTCGAAAATTACCAAATTGAGAAAAACATGATAAAAAATGGCTAGTATATTCAAAAGAGTTAGATAAAGTGTTTTGTTATTGTTGTAAATTATTTAGTTTGAAATCAAATATTCAATTAGCAAATGAAGGGTGTGGAGATTGGAAAAATCTTAGTGTCAAACTTAAAAGTCATGAGACAAGTAATGAACATGCTATTAATATGAACATTTGGGTTGATGCTCGGATGAGATTGCTTAAAAACAAAACAATTAATAAGCATTTACAAGAGAAAATAAATAACGAGAAAAAGCATTTGAGGAATGTATTATTAAGAATTATTGTTGTAGTAAAAGCTCTTTCAAAAAATAATTTGGCATTTCGTGGTACAAATGAGAAGATTTATCAAGACAATAATGGAAATTTTTTTAGTTTAATTGAAATGATTGCTGAGTTTGACCCAATAATGCAAGAACACCTTAGACGTATTCAAAATGGAGATATTCATATGTATTATCTTGGTCATAATATACAAAATGAGTTGATAAATATTTTAGCATTAGAAATAAGAAATACCATCATCGGAAAAATCAAAGAATCAAAATATTTTTCGAGTTATACTTTATTGTACTCCGGATGCAAGTCATCAAGAACAAATGTCTCTTATATTAAGATGTGTAGATATTTCGACAATTTCAATAAAAATAGAAGAGTATTTTATAGATTTTTTAAAAGTGGATGATACCTCTAGTGAAAGTCTTTTTAATGAACTTACAAGTAAGATAAAAACTCTTGAACTTGACGTAAATGATGTGAGAGGGCAAGGATATGATAATGGGTCTAATATGAAAGGTAAAAATCAAGGTGTACCAAAAAGATTATTAGATATAAATTCTAGAGCATTTTATACACCATATGGTCGTCACAATCTTAATTTAGTTCTTTGTGATATGGCTAATTCATGTGCTAGTGCTATGACATTTTTTGGAGTGACACAACGTATATATTCATTATTTTCTTCTTCTACAAAAAGATGAAAATTTTTCCAAGATCATGTTTCTAATTTGACACTTAAGCCATTATCACAAACACGTTGGGAAAGTCATATTGAAAGTGTAAAAGCAATTATATTTCAAGCTCGGCAAATAAGAGATGTTTTATATCAATTAGCGAGAAACTAGTGAGGGTCCTAAAACAAAAAGTGAAGCTATTTCTTTAGCAACATATGAGATTGAAAATTTTGAATTTCTATTAGGCATGATTATTTGGTATGATATGTTGTTTGCTTGTTAATACGATTAGTAAATATTTAAAATATAAAGATATGGATATTGCTCTTGCAATAGACCACTTGAAAGGTCTTATTTCTTTTTTTAAAAGCTATAGAGAAAATGGGTTTACATCTTCTATGATCTTGGCTAAGGAAATTGCAGAGCAAATGAATATAGAACCAAAATTTCATGAAAAGCATACAATAAGAAGAAAGAAACAATTTGATGAGATTGAAAATGAAGACATGAAATTATCTATTGAAGAATCTTTTAGAATTAATTATTTTACATATTTAGTTGATCATGCGATTTTCTCTCTTCAAAATAGGTTTGAACAATTTAAAATATATGAAGATAATTTTGGTTTTCTTTATAGTGTAGAAAAATTAAATTTACTCGATGATGATATTTTGAAAAAAAATGTTTAAATCTTGAAAACTTTCTAAAGCACGATATGCTTTCTAATATTGATGGTTTAGATTTATTTTCAGAATTAAAAGTTTTAAAAGAAATTATAACTATGAAAATGAAAACACCACTTGCCGTACTAAATTTTATAAAAAAGGTAAATTCTTTTCCAAATGCATGGATAGCATATAGAATACTATTAACTATCTATGTTACTGTAGCTTCGAGTTGAAAGAAGTTTTTCAAAATTAAAATTAATAAAATCTTATTTACCTTCAACTATGTCACAAGAAAGATTAAGTAATTTATCTATATTATCAATTGAAAAAAATTTACTTTGTAAACTTGAATATAAAAATTTAATTAGAGATTTTACATCTCGGAAAGCAAAAAAAATAAATTTTAAATAATGTTTAATATTTATTTGTTTTAAGAAAGAGTCTCTAAAATATTATTTTGATTAGGGTCACATATATTATAAAGCCAGCCCTGTTTATTGTTTTCATTTTTTAAAAGATTTTTTAGTTCTAAATAATTATGTATCTTTTTCGGTATATGCTACGCGAGATTGGGACGTAAAATACAGAAAAAAGTGACTAATTGATCTATACTCGATACCAGTTTATGTGCTCACTTAAATAATTGGTATGCTTAAAGAATGTACGATGGTTGAAACCTTTTGGTACTAAACATAACCATTTATTATAAGAAAGTAAGAAAGTACAACTGCAACATAATTAATTAGCATTAAAAAAAACTACAATAATCGCCCCATCATAGTAAAGAAATGTTCCAGTACCTTAAAGCACCGAACATCCCACTCACAACCAAATCCTGGACAGAATGCATGCCTGAAATGGGAAAATGAGGTATTAGTAACTAATACCTCATTTTCCCATTTCAGGCATGCATTCTGTCCAGGATTTGGTTGTGAGTGGGATGTTTTGTAATTTTTTTAGGAAGCTACTACAATTTCGTTTCCTTTTGCATGAATCAATTCCTCCGGTGAAGCTTCCTCTGGGGCACCAAGATCATTAATTAGTGATGATGCGGATCAGGACCGCCAGGACTAAGTCTGAAAGACTCATTAAAACCTCCAATTATCTCTTGCCTTACTATACTTTCCTTCAACATTTCTTTGGCACTCTCTATCATTGAACGATCTCTCCCGTGAGAAATCCGATCAATCGAACGAGTGTCGAACATCGAAAAGAAAAGCAAAATCAGGACAAAGAATAACAAAAGCTTCATGCTAGCCATGGTCTTACAGGCGTAGTAGTGTCTCAAAAATTTTAAGTGTACAATATTGTGAGAGGGAGTTAGGGTCTTGGATATATATAGACCTCATGAGCCATCATTTCTTGATATTTAATTTGAAAAGGGTCAAATACAATAGAATATAACTTCAATTGGAAGGATACCACTTTGATTTAGAGATCATTAATTCAAAGAAACGACAGAATGTGGTTTGAACCCATCCTTATGCCTCCTCTTATTATTCAAATTTTTTTTTTTTTTTTTGATATCTTTCCATGTGTGAAATAAATTGAATGCCGACAAAGTTGTAAAGTGTGGCTGCTTTTTGCCGCCTTTTATCGCTTTCGAACTATGATAATTTTCCATCAACCCATTTTCAGCTGGGTTGTTCTGGATTTTGCGAAAGTAAGGTTCCTTTCCAACTCATTTCGGTGTTCTGCCATGTCAGATTCTTGAAAATTAGTTTTTCGGCTAGGCATGGGCGGCTTGGCATCCATGTGTCAGATTGAAAAGCTAATAAATGGCTGGAGAAATAAAATTCCTCAAAACACTATTTACCAAAGTTGATTAAAATTGTTCAGTATATCCAAACTTGGTCCTTTCTCTCTCTCACAAATATGCTTGGCTCGCAAGTTGTGAGAAAGGAAGTCTCAATTATTTTCAGTAAGCTTTTATTTCACCAAATCACCTCTAGCTCTACCTCTAGGTGAGCTCTTTGTGGCGGTCTACTGCAGTCCATGGATGAACTTGGATTCTGTGTTCTGCTCGCTTCCTTCAGACATCCTACGAGTATAGACGTATTGAATCTGGGACTAAATTGGTTCAGTTGTCATCCAAAACGCTAGTATTACTTGCCGCAGTTACTCCCAATCAATAATGAAAATATAAATACCTTATTATTTATAAATATTAAAAAAAAATTATAACTCTTTAAAAATTAAAATGGATAATGTTATTATTGTTCGTACCACTCCCTTTACCTTTATGTTACTTCATTTCATATAGAATTGAAAATGTTTCGCTTTCATTCAGGATTTTTTGTGGTTAAATGTTCGGGTTAATCATTGTGAAGGTATTTCTATTCTTTCTTTCTTTTTTATGATGTCTCGTTACTCTTTTTCAACTCAAGTTCGTCCTTCGAGTGTTTGATTTGTGTTTTAGTTATGCCTTTTTGTTAACTTTTTGAGTTAATAATGTTATATAGTAACGGTAGCACTATAAGATTGTAACATGTATCAACTTCGTTTTTTATTTTATTTTATTTATTTATTATTATTATTATTATTATTATTGGTCTTAATCTTATCACTCTATTTCTTTTTTACTGAATTTAAATAAATAAATAAATTTAAAAAAAAACCTCAAAAATAAATAGGTGAAAATGAAAATAGTTTTTTATCTAAAATATATTTTATGGATTTTAATTTGTCTCTATGATAGTAAACAAACTGCGAGTATAAAATGAAAATTTTATAGTATTTAAAAAAAAATAAACTTTTGAGTGGTTTTTAAAATTTTATAATACTTTTAAAAAGTCTATTATAATTTTTTAAAAAATGTATAAAATTTTTTTAAAAGAGACTATTATAATTTCTTTCATTTTTATCATGTCTCTTTACTCTTTTTTATCCGAAGTTCATCCTTCAATGTTTGATTTGTGTCTTAGTTATGTCTCTTTCTTAACTTTTTGAGTTAATAATGTTATATGATAATGTTAGCACCATGAAATTGTAACATGTATCAATTTCATTTTTTAATTTTTTGTCTTAATCTTGTCACTCTACTTTCTTTTTCACTGAATTTAAATAAATAAATTTTGAAAAAAAAATAAAAAATAAAAAGGGGAAAATGAAAATGGTTTTTTATTTAAAATATATTTTATGGATTTTAATTTATCTTTATAATAGTAAACAGATTCTAAGTATAAAATGAAAGTTTTATAGTATTTTTGAAAAAAAAAATTTGAACGTTATTATAATTTTATAATACTTTAAAAGAGTCTATTATAAATTATTTTAAAAAAAAAATTCTTAATTTGACTCAAATATAAAAAATATAACTTTTGTTAAAAAATTTTAGAAATACTCACTCAAAAGTGGTTGAAACACCGCATATATCTTCACTTTTTTAATATATATTTTTTAAAAAGTTATTTATTTAAATTTAATAAAAAGAGATTAAATGGACTAGATTTAGACAAAAGGATAATAAAAAATATAAAATAAAATTGACATGTGTCGCTAATCGTATGATTTAACAACATTAGTATAAAAAGTAAATAGAAAAATACAATTAAGAAACAAAAAACTAAATATAGATAGATAATTTTAAAAAAATACCTTAAAAAAAAAAAAAACCTGCAACTTTTAACCTTTAAATGCTGCTTGCTTTTTCTTCCAGCAATTCAGACTTCCCGTACAAAAGTAGCATACGGAGTTGGAAGTGAACAAATACGCAGGATCCCGTTCTCACTCGTTTCTTCACCATCTTAAGTGGGAGGTGTCGTGCTTTCCAATTCTTCTTAACCGGACTAACAAAATACAAGATGACAAATGGCATTGCGTAGATCATACAATTGTATAACACAAGTTACGTGGAAACCAGTTGGGATCAATTTATTACAACTCCATATCATGTCTTAAGCACCATCTTCAGCAACTCTTTAAGAAAAGGCCGGCACTGTTCATTTTCAAAATGAATAGTCGGCACCGATAGATAACCAAGCTAATTAAAATGCAATTGCTGTTCATATCTTCTTCCGCAATTTCATTGGGATGAGGTTTCTTTCTTCTTCTTCTTTTTCTTTAATTTATGTTTTTGCATGATGCAATGATAAATAAGTTCAGTGCTGGACACATTACCGACTAATGTGATAACCGATATGTTAGATATCATTACGCACTGAATGACCTCATTGGCATATCACACGTTTCTTTTACTAGTCTATGATAACATTGGTTTATCTCGTAGTTATTCTTGTAGTGTTCAAATTTTTTTACTGACATCTTTTATGATTTTTCATATTGATTGAATTTTTTAATTTTTATAAATTTATTGGTTCCGATCATTTATTAATTATAAATAGTTTTTTCATCTGAAAATAAATTAAAAACTGATTTTTATAATAAAATAATACTTAAAATAAATAAATAAAAAAAGGAGAATACCAAAACACCCCACCCCTATTAGTTCCCAACCCATTCTCTCTCTCTCTCTCCCCTCAGTGTCTCTCTTTTAATCTTCGCAAAATCAAAGACATTTTAGCTAGGCCGACACCTTAGCTTTTCTCAACTCACATATGAAGTTCGAAGATGCCTTAAAGATCTAAGAAAGTTATGTTGCCAGCAAGTCAAATTATGGTTGGAAATTCATTAAATGGGCAAATAATAGACAATTTTATTATGGGTTACAAAGAAATCGCATAGAAATTCCTTCAAGAAGTTTGGGACCAGTGGCGTTCCCATAGCAACTACGACGCATAAGTAACATAGAAGATGCATCTTTGAAATGTAGTTATTTTGCAGCAGATACAAATTATCATAGTGTATAATAGAATTGGAAAATTTTGATGAGAGAAACCACCAGTAATGATGTGGATGCTACACAGTACATTTATTTTGATAATTTCGATAGGTAACAATTAGAAATTAATGGGATTTTTGTTCTTGTTGGATTGGTTGAGGTTATTGGATATGGTTTTTTTATTTTGGATTGAAATTATTGGATAGATGTGATTATTTTGAAATATTTTTTGGTGGGTTTGTGATAGATATCCATTGGAGAATTGTTGTGATTTAAGGATATTTGATTACTTGATCTAATGTCATTTTCTTTGATTACTTCAAATAAAAAAATTCTTCTCATTTTCTTTGATTTTTTGAGAAAAAATGAAAAACGAAAGGAAAATTTTCAATCTTGGCTATTTCAATATTGAAGATGGAAAATTTAACTAGGTTTTGGGGATTTTTTGGTTTTTTTTTTCTTTTAAATATTAGTTTATTATAAAAATCAGCTTTTAATTTTATTTTTTTATTTTTTTAGACGAAAAACTATTTTATGGGACCCACTATGTCATTTGTTAATTTGTAATTAGTTATCGTTAATTTTAACGTGCCATGTCGGATGAACGAGTTAATAAAATTATAACAAAGGTTTTGAATCAATACATTTGTAAGATTAGATGATTTGAATCAAGCTGAAAAATCATAAAATGTCACAATTAAAAAAATTCAAATAATAAAGGGACCAAATATAGGATAAAGCCAATAGTAATATAATTTTTTTATTCTCACTTTTTTATAGTTTCAAGGGTCCTAATATTTCTTTTCATTAAATAAATGGATTAATTTGTATTTATATAATAATTTGAATCTTCAATTTATCTTTATGCTTTTAATTCCATTCATTATTTTTTTTAATATTATTTAAGTCTTTTAATTTATCTTTTTGATCCAATTTTCTGACCGTGGACAAATGTTTTTTCATCAAATGCCCCTAATTGAGTAAAATTAATAAAAAAAATTCCAAAGACTTGAAAATTGAAACATATGTTACTTTAAGTGTTTTTTTTTCATTTCATTCAAAAAATTTACCCATGATTAAAATAACATATTAAAGACTTAAATATTATTTAAAAATATAATAGATACAATTAAAAATATAAAAACATATTGAAGGCACAAGGTATTATATAACAATAAATTGAATTATTTATATTTTGTTTTTCATAAGCTAGCATTCTAACACCAAAACCAAGAGTAATAAGTTACAAAATAGTTATTAGACAAGCTATCCATATTCTTACAAATTTCTCCCAACGTATTCTCAAATTCAGAACTAAATCTCTTACCAAATAGATGTATGACAAGTTGTGCTATTCACATTCAAACCAATAGATTCACCAAAATTTTCTTTTTCTTAGCTTATCCTTTTGATTCAAGGGAAAATGATAACTCAGGAAACAAAAAAACAAACCAATCAAATACACCTCATACCCCTGTACT